ATATTTTTTTCGAGTTGTCTATCACTAGGGCTTTCTGAAAAAAATATCAAGAAAGATATCCTGCCCTGTATGAGATACTTTCGATATACTTGTATTTATATTTGAAACGACCATAATTTTTGCAAATGGCTGTATATAAATATAATAAGATATATGATGAAAATAAGAAATCTAATCAAAGACGAAGTACAAGGTACATAATCCTAATCTGTGCGCTTTATTGTTCTCTGCATGCACGTTTTCAAGTCCATGTGGTGATAGTCTATGATGAGAAAATATGTTTCACACCTAAATACTATGATAAAGTTGTCCTTTAGTAGCATAGTGAGATATGTGTATATGGCTTCCTTGGTTGATATGTACACATCTACACAATACATACAGGGTTTGTTTGTTTTTGATGTTCATTTTGATGTCCTTTTTGATTTTTGATTTGTTTTACATATTGTTTTAGGCAGAATGTTTGACAAAAATGGAAGGAAGACCGAACAGTGGTGGACAAACAGTTCACTCCAGGCGTTTAAAGAACTATCAAAGTGTTTCGTAAACCAGTACTCAAAGTATATTGTTTCAGGAAAATACCCGGTAAGAACATGAAAAATGAAAATTTAATTGGTTTTATTACTACTTAAAGATTATTCCATTTAACTTTCAGCCAAATGTTTAGTGTTAGTCCGCCTTTAATGACAGATTATTCTAAATGTCTAAATATTCTATGTCCCTAAAAAAATGAGTTTTGATTGGCATCTACACGCGTTCATGGGATAACATATTGCTAAACAAGCAAGTTATGTTTACTGAATTTTTTTTTCAATCTGAAGTCCAAGGGCGATTTATGAATACGTCTGCGCAAAAATAGAGGGAAGGGCAAATTAAATCTAAATCCCTTCCTGATACCTAAATTTAACGAGTTCATTCTGATCGGTATAAATACTAAATATAGATTAATTTGAAATAACAGCTAGAAAATTAAATAAACGTAAACAACTAACCGATAAAGTCATTTTTAACAGATCAGCGGCCAGCGAACTCTTCCTGAAAATATTGCAGACAATGGTGGTCTATACCTCGCTTTTAAGGTAAGTGTGAGAATTACAAACATAGCATAAGCTTTTATAAGATTTTTTTTCAAGTGATTTTAGGTAAAATATTCCCAAGTCTTCACTTAATGGAACATTGAAAACCCAAGATTTTATTTTGAAATCCTTACATTTATTCACGCCGTGTGATTATTTGCTTATGGGGGTCAATTAGAGTTTTCAGATTTAGTGATCTTTGATTGCAAATTACCATCGGCAACTCTATTTTAGAAATCGAAAGCAATTAGGATTTAAAATAATCGAAAAACGAGGAATTTAGCAAGAAAAAGAAAAGCATGAAGAAAATGCATGGTTAATCTGAATCTGAACTATCTATTTGCATCCGTCTTCACGGTCCTGCTATGATCTTTGGTTGCAGAGTTTGCATTCTGTATAAGCGCAGGAGCGACTCTAAAGTACTCGATATTTTTGATGTGGCTACCTGTTTTCTCCTGTTAAAATACAAAGTAAAAAGTGTAATTTAACTTTAGCTTTGACATTCGCTATCAGCAATGACAAATAAATAAACGCGACTTTGCATTTGAATCATTTGAAGACCAGCAAAACTTCTACCTACCTTTGGCTTTTTTCCCTCTTCGTTTTTGAACCAGCTAGGTCTCTTGCATCATCATCATCATATCCATTCTTTACAGCATATCCTGTCCGGATTGATTGTTAGATGTTTGTATATCGCGTATCTCTTTTTGAATATCGCTCACGGTGGCTTTCCAAACATTTGAATCGCTTTCACCACATCTACTAGAACTATTGAATTTTTGCTCAGCGCTAGTCTTGACTTTACTAGTGGATGCATCAGTCGAAGCTACTTGTAAATGCCGAGAATCACTAAAGAAAACATAAAAGAACGTTAAGTTTCTAGTTTTTAAAAGAGCCTGTATCTCAAAAGTCGTCTTAAAATCTTTACCTTGACTTGTCTTCTTAGCAATCTTGCGAACTTTCGCCATACCTTTTCTTGGGTTCGGCTGTCAAAAATACACCAATCAAATTGCACTCAAAAATTCAACGGAAGTAAATTTGACTTCCGATATAAACATTCGCCACAGGTGGATTTCTTGCTTATCAAATTCACAAACATGTCTGACTTTTAAAACGTGTTCGATCTTTGTGATCCTCAAAAATATTGTAGATTTTGCCACTGCAATTTTAACGTCAAATTTGGTATATCCGGAAAGAAGGGGTACTTATCATCTGAAAATTTATTCAGACCATCTCAACGTAAATATTCTTTTGGCGTTATTTTGGCAGATATATGTAGAGAGGTCGGAATTTGCATAGTGATATCGGATGGCAAACAATCTGATTAAGTTTGTGATCCTTGTGGAAGGAAATTTAGGATCTTGGTAACCCGTTATCGATTTGTTAAATGTGCTACTGTGAAAACTCCCAAAAACTAGCTGTCTCACAGCATCAAACTTTTGGGGTTTTAGTACCTAATAGCAATCTTAAAACGTATGGAGACAATGCTTTTGTTGTTGCTGCACTAAGACTGTGGAACAATTTACCGATAGAAATACGAAAGTCTCCATCTCTGTCTGTTTTTAAAAATTCGCTGAAGACACATTTATTTAAGTTAGCTTTTAATTTATAATTTTACAATTAGTACTATTTTCATTGTTTTGTTTCACATATTTTTATATCTTAATTTTTATTTAGCTTAGTTAATTATATATTATTTTTATTAGTGAGCGCTCTGAGCAATTAGTGGATTTAGCGCTATATAAATAAACATTATTATTATCATTAGTTCTATTTTAAGTTCACCAGTGATTCCTGTTAAAACGTGCTCGAATATTTCTTCACTGAAGTCCGCCATGATTATTATAATATAGTTACGTCGGTCATATCATATTCTAACTTTTGAAAGATTGCCACGTATCGAACAGAAATAGCCAAGCCGAGCTAATCAGTTACGCCGTACGTCCACGAACGGAGTATTTGAAAATAACAATGAGTGCGGGCAGGCGTTCCCTCCTTTTCTCTCCCCATTTTCTCTAGGCCCCCATCTATCCAGGAATGCCTGCTACGCAGGCTAATCGCGGTATTGATCTTTAAAGCTTTCATTTATTTATTGTGCTCAAACGATGGACAGAAATCCCCCACCTCCATTTCCGTATTTTCAGGTCTGTACCTTAACGTCGAAATTATCTGCACTGGATATCCTTTTTCTCATGACAACAATCAATATCCCCCCACCTTTTCCTCTTTTGATAAACGTTGTTTCTTTACTCATCGCCATTTTGGAAATTCTGTCACTTCCTCCTATAATACGAGTATTGTTTCCAGGGCTATTGCTCAGGAAGAACATTGGAAGAGGCGTATGAAGTATACGTGTAAATTCTCTTATCTAATAGGAGACACCTCTTATGCTACCAAGAACTCCTATCATTAAAAGACAGCGATGCTGTCTATTGGTTGTACGCAACAGAAATAGCCGATGAAATGAACTTTGGTACATCAGGGCCAAAACTTGCATCTGAAATCCCCGAAACAGACTTAAATTCAGAAAAATATATTAAAGGAATAAATGCCACTTTTGAATTTACTCCGGTCACGGAAGAGGAAGTACGMAAGGTTTTGTCAGGATTAAATACTTCAAAATGTAATGGGCTGGATAAGATATCAAGTAAACTTCAGTAAAAATAGCCAGCCCTTGCATTGCGGTATCTATCTGCGAGATAGTAAACCAAATGTTCAAAACTGGCATATTTCCAAACGATTGGAAAAAGCGAAAGTCTGTCCAATTTATTATTCGGACAAACGAAATCTACCTGAAAACTACAGACCTATTTCTATTCTGCCAGCAATATCTAAAGTGGCAGAAAGATTCATGCATATGCAGCTCTCAAAGTTTTTTTTATACAGCATGAAATTTTGTCTAACTCCCAGTTAGGTTTTCGCTCCGGGCATTCAACATGTACGGCACCGCTTTTTACCTTAAATATCTGGCTTAGAAATATGGATAATGGTTTCATTAATGGCAACGTATTCATTGATCTAAAAAAAGCCTTTGACATCGTGGATCATCATATCCTACTAAGAAAATTAAGTAGTTACGTTGCAGAGGCAGAGCTTTACAGTTGTGCAAGTCATATCTGAGTCAACGAACTCAAAAGTGTTATGTAAATGGCGTTTTATCTGGAGAAGAACAAGTAATTCGTGGCATCCCTCAAGGATCAATACCGGTATTAGGCACTTTGTTCTTCATAGTCTATGTTAATGATTTTTCAGAATGTTTAAATCACTCGACGCCGGGGATGTTAGCTGACGATACGTATATAACAACCTCAGACAGTGACATCCGAGGCGTCGAACAAATACTTAACAAAGACCTGAAGGGGGCGGATAACTGGTTAAAGACAACCGAAACTAAGCTGTAACTCCAAAAAACCAGCTATATAAAAATAAATAAATTGACTTTATTTAACGAGGGTGACATACATTACTGGTAACCCAGTAGTTTCCATTATGGCCCTCCTACAATTAATAAACTGAAATGAAATGATCAAAGAAACAGAAATTGTTTTAAAAATGCCAACTGGCAAGGAGGCAAACCAGTTGGCTATTTACAAGCATGGTCGAGAAACTGAATCTGAACTAATCAGTGACCAGGACAAATACAGTCTCAGCTAGTGACCACAGCGGGACTTGAACCCGGCACCACCGGATTGCGAGACCGACGCTACGACCACTCGACCGTGCTGCCTCCATTGCCCCCATATGATAATAGGATCTAGACAAATGTAGAAAAAGGAAATGATATGGCCTTAACTATTGATAATCAAACGATAGAGCAAAAACATTGCACTAAAATTCTGGGATTACATATAGATGAATTTGTGCTTTGGGATGACCACATTAAACATATTACTTCTAAGGCATCAAATGGACTGTGCATGCTATATAAAATTAGAAACATGACGAATGACCTAAATACTTTGAACTCTATCTATAATTCACTGGTGCTGCCATACTTCGATTACTGTGGCATTGTATGGGGCAGTTGCTCTATAAAACACGCATGGATCGCATGCAAAAACTACAAAATAGAGCAGCTCCAATTATAACTACAGCTGATTATTCTGTCATGTCTCATGAACTCCTGAACGAACTGGGTTGGCAAAATTTAAATGGAAGACATAATCTTCAATTATTGCTTACGATGTATAAAATATTTCATAAACAGGCACCAAACCATCTACAAAGCCTGTTTAAAATGACATCTAATATTCATAGCTACAATTTGAGAGGAAGCGAGTTTGATTTTCAGCTTTCCATGCCAAAAAACAATTTTATGAAACGCTCCTTCTCCTACCGTGGCGCTGTTGCCTGGAATTAGTTTCCCAACGAAACGCGCGAGCTCGAAACTTTGAAATCCTTCAAAAGAGCTCTGCAGCGAAAAACATGCAATAGCACCCTTAAAAAATTAGTTCTATAAATGAACATCTTTATTTTGCATTTTTACATGTAATTAGGATAAATTATTAGCATATAGGTGGGAGGAAGAGAGGAGCAACACTAATTTTGACGGGTATCCTGTTAATACACGAACGAGAGGTACTGGACACGTTAGGTAGAAAAAATGTCGATGCGTTTGCGATAATGGATTTTTACGTCATCAGTTCAAAAACATGCACACCCATAGTCATTCTTGCCTGTCTATCTGTCCAACCTTGTTGAGTCTATCCAACGTAAGGCGCTGCACATCATTTTCATTGACACCAACTTTAGTGATGCCCTAAAGTTATCAGGCCTTAAACTCCTAGAAGCCCAGCAAGCAGAAATTTGCAAGCATTTATTAGTATTGTTTAAAATGTTGTCTTTTGGCTGAAATCTTTCTCACACTTTCATTTTGGCTTTCAGTGCGGGTATGTCAACCATTTTGCCGATTTTCACCACCTTTGTTTGCTTTGGTGGTCTTATACTGCGTTTACAGAGTCAATTTTGAATTCACTTTGCGCTTTTCTGAACGATTTTCTGATCTCTGGTGGTGTCACTCCCTAAAATTCTTGAATGTCCTCTACACCCTGAAAAATTTATCTTCTCTAAATTGCATTTCACCCATTTTCAGAATTAAGCGAAACAGACAACTAGCTATAATTTAACTCGTCTAGGTTTTTGGCTTTCTTCAATCAATTTCCAATGGTCTGAGAGTATACGTTTTTTGATCAACGGAAGGCAAAACCCAAACGTCTTGGGCTTAGTTGATCACGTAATTACGAAAATGGTGTGTGAAAGTCTTCTTCAATGTACTTTTGAAAATGATGGCGTATTCCGGCATTTTTAATTTTCGAATCTTTATTGCTAAAAAATATGATTTTTTTCTTGTTTCTTAGTTACATGAGGCAAGGTCGAATGGAACGAATGCCCAAATCTGGAAACTACCAGGACTAACAAATTTCACTGATGATCAGCTCTTTTTCATTAGTTTGGGGCAGGTAAGTATCGATCTTCTATTCATGTCAATTGTAGTTTTTACAATAACTTGCAAATTTCTCGCGCGCTGATTGGTTATTTTTTATCATCAATAAGAGGACAGACAGATAAAGCTGACGTCAACGAGTGAGCGCGCGCTCTTTCCGTTGGTTGTTTTAATCGCTAAAAATGAGAAGTTTTTATCGTTTTTGTTATTGTAAAAAAACAAATAGACATCAGTTCTTTGTGTCTGTCCTCTTATTGACGATAAATTGCGTAATCACATAGTCAAAGTACTGAGTATGGACTCTTGAGGAGCTTGTTAACTAGAGTTTTTTTTAAAAAAAATTAAAATTGTTTTCTTTAATGAAATGAAGACACAATTTGTAGAAACTTTACATACTTGGCCTTCCAGTATTGTTGTAGGACAATCTTTCTATCTCAGGTATCGGTCAAAGCATAAAATGACCTTAAAGGCGGAGGTTCGTATTCATCTCTGTATTTCTTCTTGACTTCAACAAAAAATGCAGAAAACAGCTTGTTCAACTATCTTGGCCGTATTTCATCAAGGTTTTGATGCACATTTCTGGTCTTCGGGTATTCAGTCGACAATGCCAGGTCTCTTTTCGTCTTACTTAAAGTGTGTACAAATTTGCTTTTAACGGGAAGACATCCAAATTTCGAAATTTCTCGTTTTCCTATCGATTGGTTTAGTCAACACACCAGTTTCGCATTCCATGCATACCGCGGTTTTTGAAGACCAAAGACTCATTTGTACAGGCTTAGCCTCGTCTATAAGTCAGCTATTCACAGATACCATGAAAAGTGCCGTGGGATTTCAAAACATTGGTATTGTAGAACTTGCACATTCTTTACATTACAGTTGACTTTTGCAAATGATTTACTTTTAAGCGAGGCTAAATCTGTTTGAGGCCAATTCAGTTTGTAGTCATAGAACACAGCGGTATTTACCGAATGAGAAAGTGGAATATTCTCAATTCTGATTGGATTTATTTTTCACATGTGAAAAATGCTGTGTGCGACGCTGATTAGTCGCATTGGTTTCTTCACATGTGAAATATAAAGCATATATATCTTTATAACACAGATTTACTATATGGAATTCTAGTAATTCTAGCATAATATTGGTTTGCTAGCTACCATGTCTACATTGGAAGACAGAGACATGCTCGCCCAAAGTCGTTAAAAAATATTTTATAAAAGCAATATAAAGCGGCTTATAATGTCTCTGTCCTGCGATATAAACACTCTGGGAGCTGTAGAGCAAACAAAAATCAAGAGAAACACTCTGCTACGCTTCGATGGTCTTCCTAAGCCTTTTCTCTTGCGCTCTACAGCTCCATGCGTATTTATAACACAGTACAGAGACATGTACGCGCGTTTTATAATCTATATACTACGTACATAGGTAGAATTTTTTCTCTTGTACAATTACTAGATGCATCTAATTAAGGTACTGCCCATGTATCATTTCGATCACAGCTTATCTTATGTTTTGAACCCGAATCCACTTGTGATTTGCCTTTTGTTTGCATTTTTTGCCTTTCACAGACCTATTGTAGTATCAGCAATGACTATGCGAAATATTACATTACCGAGTACTTGCAACATCCTTATGATGGATACAGGTTTGTAATTATGTACTTTAACCTCCATCAGGGCGTATCCAGATTAGTATTCCCCATGAGGAAAGGAAGTCACTCCCATTAAACAACCTTAAAACGAAAACGGAAAGGAAAGTCACAAATAACTTCACCCCGCTAAAGGGACACGCCCTTGCCAGCATGCTATAAATACCACTGGAGATATTGAAATTTCGTAGCTGGATTAAATTTTCTCGGAAGTAAAATATGAAAATAATTGGAAACGCAATTAAGAACGTGTTCATATTCATTACCATTTCAGAAAAATAAATAAATGAAAATATAGGATTACTTTTCTTACTCTCTGTCAATTAGTTTTTAAACAGAAATATGATTACATATCTACCAATGACTGCTATGACTGCATTCCTACTTATTTCATTTTCCTATATTTGCAGATTAAATGGAACATTATCAAATTCTTATGATTTTGCTAATGCTTTCAACTGCGCTACAACTAGTAGGATGAATCCCGTTACCAAATGTTCCATGTGGCTTGGTGATGCTGCTTGACAATACGGCACAGTAAAGAATGAGCCATGTTATTAATTAATTGCATTGTTACTTCTATTCAGAAAAGGAAAAGTGTAAAGGTGGAAAAAGAAAAATTCGTTCATTTAACATTAAATATTAAAATAAGGCATGCCTGTCAATCTTAAAAAAACTATGATTAAAGCTAAAAATTGTATCCTACTTATGATGGATTTAGTCTAAAGTATATTATAAAATAGTCACTATGTAATGCGCGCTGATTGTCTAAATAGCGTGCACCAATTTCCCATGGGTGAACGCTGATGTTAAAATGACGCATATAGTTTCGTATCATTTCTAAATTTTAGTTGCTTTTAACACAGGGGGCCCTAAAAGTAAAACGTGAATATAAAAATGAAATACTTGAATGATTGATTATTATTTAAATTCGAGGTCAAGATGATGTGCTCCGTAATTTACGCGCACGCAAATCGTGGGCTCAAATCGAACGTTCAAAAGTAGGCAGCCACTAACCAATTCTTGGAATTTTTTAGGAAAACTAACAAATTTCATAATGTAGCTAAGTCAAATCGCGCGCTCTGATTGGCCCATGGGTAGCACGCTGACGTCAGTATTTTTCTCTTTTTTCTCTAAATGCGCCAAAAAAATCTAAGCTCCCCTCTTTTTTTGGATGATAATTAAAAAGAAATTTTACAAACTATACCGAAGAAATGAGCGAAAACACATGTACACCTCTACAAGGTGGTGAGCAATTTTCAATTACCTAGTAGCTCTGACAAAATACTACAAACTTCACGATTTGCATCTGTCTAGTCAAGAATAAGACAGAATTGTTTCTGAAAGACACCCAAAAGACAAAACAAGCAATAAATTGGTCTTTTTCGACCTCTCAAAGTATGTAGCAATAATTTTACAAAAAGTGCGAACATTTTTGCAATAAAAAAACAAATATACGTAACCGGTAAACCACTAAAATGAGGTAAACATCGCTGAGATTAGCGACAAATTTTTCATATCTTTAAAATATAAATATGATCAGTTTTGGGACCTTTTTTAATTAAACAAATTGTTGTTTATTCAAATTCAGTTTGGTGTAGAGAAAGGAAGATTCAGACTATACTCTAGTCGATGTTAGTAGGGCAGCTAGATGAAAATCTTAGATTTTATGCAGAAGCAACACAAAAAAATGGGGAAAACTACAGCAAATCTAGCTTTCTTGGCTTCCAGCAATCCATCGACCATCACCTCAATGTTCTTCCATACATCAAAAATCAAAGATTTTCACGCTTTAGAAAGAGTGCAAGGCAGAGTTTTTACATTAGAGCTTCGTCAAAGAAAAGGAGAAATGTCCTATGGGGAGAGGTGTAAGGAATTGGGGTGAGCCAAATTATCTCTTAGGAGGGAATATTTATCTTTATAATATAGTCAAGTAAATCCGCGCGATCTAATTGCCTCAAAAGCATGAACCATTTGCCCATGGGTTGCACACGCTCACGTCAGCTTTTTTTGCTTCGGCGAAAAAAAAACTTTTTGTATCTTTTTACTGACAATTTATCTAGAAAAGATAACTGAAAATGACTTAAAAACCAGCGAAAATACTCATTAATCTCCGACATTTAGTATAGAGTTGTCATTTGATCAGCCTAGTAATAAAACGTCAAGATTTGCATCACTTTTAAACAGTGAGCTGGACAAGATTGTGTCAAAGCGTCACTCCAAAAAGACAAAGCAAACCACAAATTGAACGGTGTCTACATTCAAAGGTTTTTAGCAATGATTTAACAAGTACAAAAATATTGTTATCGCGTATTCATTCAACAAAAGTATTTCCAAAGTAATGAACTATAAATATCACGCTCACCATCTACTTCGCAGCTTCACAACTGCAGTGAAGTCCTTTCTGAAGCTCTACATGGTGAAAGCCGACAAAGCATACTACCCAGACAAAATTAATCCAGTTCAGTCAGTTTTGATCCGTGTACAAGATGTTTTCCATTGCTAAGTCATTGTATGATATTAACAAACATGAACATCGTCAACAACGACAAAGACAGCTACTGTGTTTTTCATTGATTTTCTTGGCATTACTGTAATAAGATATGTCAACATTTGAAATGTACTTCTTACAGTTGAAAATCACTTTCTCCGTAGTTTTGAACATTTTTGATTCACTTGTAAGCTAAATTTTTGCCATTATTTTAGTCATAACAGTCTTCAGTGTAAAGCTGCCATTTTCAAAACGATCAAAACGATTTCGAAAAGTCAATATTTTGTATTCATTTCTTGTTTGTTGACTTGACTATATTATAAAAGCAATGGATCATAAGTAGCTGAGCGTCCATCGAGTTATGGATGCACTTGGGAGGTTGCTTAAGCACTCAAAAAAGCTAGAGTTGCACTCCGCTTCTCGTCGTGCAACCCTTACATTTGTCTTCGTGCTTCCCGCGTGCATTCATAACTCGATGATCCATTCCTTAATTATAACATAACTAAGATATAGCGCGCGAAAAAATGTATGGAGCACTCGTGTGGAGCACGCTGGTGACGTCAAGTTGGTGAAAATTCGCTGAAAATTGCAAGCATTCTGATAAAACTAAAAAGACTACTAACTGGTCTACATTTCTGTGAATTTAAAGGTAAAACATAACTACACTGTAAATCGGAAAGAGCTGATTTAGCCCCAGAAAGTCAAATTAGCCCCAAAAATCAAAGGAGCTATTTTGACCCATTTGGGGTCGTTTCGACAAAAAGGGGCTAAAACAGCCCCATGACTAGCCAATCCAGCCCCAAGGAATTATAAAATGGCCCCACCACTTTTCATATTGGCCCCAGGTGTGGTCAATTTGATAGGAAAAGGGACTGTTTTGGCCGCAGAGGAAATCGCATAATAATACCTACAGATCAGCATTAAAGATCAATAAGTAACACCGACTGAAAATACATTTCAGCCCTTTTTGGTCTTATTCTGCTCTCATGTAGTCTCCCCCACAGCCGCTTTCAGTGTCGTCACGCAACGCTTTCTCCCCCGAGTAGCGGCTGCTTACCCGAGCACAACATTCCTTTCCTATTGTCTGCGTTCAACCAATCAGAAAAGTGTCATTGTGTTTCAAGAACCAATCAAAACGTTTCGAATTTGACAACTTGTAAACAATCGCGAGACTAGAGAAATAATTCTAATAAGACGCATTGAGTGGAAGTTGGAGAAAATCTTTGGGAAATTAAAATTGAATTCGTTCTTGTTAAATGTTTAATGCCCAAAAAAAATTTATTGGAGACGGAACTAAGTGTTTTCTTTGTTCATAAAGAAAGAAAAGATTTATATTTTTATAAGTTTAGCTATCGACATTGTTTAATCGGCCGATAGTGAATTCGAGTTTGTACTTGCTATCGAGCTCGTACCAAAATATTAGAAGCAAAAAGAAACTGGAAAACTTTTTTAAAAAGCGTAATCTAGACTCATGGAAGTTAAACGAGACGACTCAAGATTTAAGAGATTGAATTCGAATATAAAGTCTGACAGTATTTTTAATAAACGAAGATGAGCCGCGCAGATCACTTATTTTAAACAACGAATGCAGTGTAAAGCTAAAGAAAATCGCAAAAAGGCTAGATAACTTTTAAGTCTGACACTGTCACACCGTTGACTTCCACGGGTATTAATTGTAAACTTCTGAACGCTCACAGTTCCGGTATTTACTTCACGTATACTGCGAGGATTAGCTCAATTTGATACTGTTAGAAAAGTTGTTTTGTTTTGTTTTGTTCAAACTGTTAGAAAAGTCGTGAAAAGTGAACACGAACCGTTAGCTAAAGCGTTATCTTATGGCCAACCTTCTAACGTCGCGTTAGCAGTTTATATGAAATGCCAAGAACTTCGAACTCGTGTTATTCAAAAAGTCCTCGAGCTTGTCTATTTTATTCCTTTGAGCGATTTCCCATATCCAGTAGGCAGACTTTCAAAGAAATTTTGTTTTTCTTGTAAAATCTTTCGTATTGCGTCTTTCTGATGATCATTAAACTGTTTGATGCGAAATTTCTTAGCTGCTATCTCGAAGCCTCCCTCTAACGACGCATCTTGTTTTCCATATGGCGCGAATGGTTCCTGGTTTTCGAGAACTAAGCCGTGATTGGTTAATTCATAGGAAAGGAATGTTGTGCTCGGGTAAGCAGCCGCTACTCAGGGGAGAAAGCGTTGCGTGACGACACTGAAAGCGGCTGTGGGGAAGACTAGCTCTCATGGGGCTATAATCGCACCTCTGAGAGACCATTTCAGCGCTTCAAAAGATCATTGACTAAGTTATGCGCTGTTTCTAGCATAAAAAACCTTAGCCAATCCTTGAGGGAAGCTGATACTTAAGGCAAGAGTCATCTATTGTGAAAGCAAATTTTTTCTGTGCTATTTTAGTTGCTGACTTAATAGCGCATTATATAAGTGCACATCTTAGACTATGACCTTGGCTTCCTGTGCCATGGAATTCAAATGCAGATCAAATAAATTAAAAAACCTTATTAGCTAACAATCTATTTCAGTCCTTTCTTAGTCCTGCTTTTTTCTTTGGTTCTACATCTCCTCTGAGAATCATTTCAACTCCTTGGGAGTTGAAATAGCCCCATGCAATTACCCACTTATATTTGGCTCACTTTAGATATGCTTGGCATGTATGTGGTGCTCTAACCTAAAGCCAGTAACAATTTACTGCAACTGTTCTGCACCCATGATGCACCATGTACTGATAAAATTAGTTAACAAGCGCATAATTTTTTAGCCCTTGTTGGTACTAAAATGCTCATAAGGGGCCATATTTAACCTATTTAGGAATTAAAGTCCATTCACTTTGAAACATTTGATCAGCACTGCTCGGGGGTGCAGCAAGATGTCAAACAATGGGGGCAATGCACCATTTCCCACCAAATCCACAGGAAGCCCACACGAATTAACTAAATTTTGGTAACCCCTTCTCTATGCCACACTCTGCTCTTTTTAGTACAATTCTGCACATATACAGTAAACCTTATTCTAGCAAAACAACAATAAAAATTTAATTATTCAAATAAATTATTCAAATTTGCTCATTATAAATGTCAACATCCAATTTAGGA